TCTTTAGAACTAGACCAAAGATTTTAATATAAGAGAAATTCTAATTACTCGAGGGTTAAAAAATTTAATATTCAGAGATAGCTTTATTACTTGGGATCATTAAATACTCCATAATAAATGGTTTTCCTTATTCAATAATTTTATAAGGTTTAAGCACTAAATGATGATTAAAAATCTAGTTAATACTTTACTCTATAGATTGCATTTCCATGCTCTTGATAAGCAATGTTAAGTGGTGAGGAGATTCAATAAGATTATTTCCAAACTATGTTGCTTTATTAAATAGTAAAAATGATTTTATAAAATTATGAGGAAGTACAACTCCATTTTGGTTGAAATAAATCCCTCCTCCATCTAAAGCCTTATTATTTGTAATAATTGTTGATTTTATTTAAAAGTCAGAATAATTTAGTTATAAATAAAATCCTCCTTCGAATTTGCTGGCCGAATTAGATATTAATTTACAATTCAACGTCTTTAATTTAACATTTTAAATTGTTATCAAGTAAGAATCTTTGATTAAAATAGTTGAATTAATATAATTTTAGTTAAAAAAATAGACACAACCATTTTATGTCACACTATTCTAACAGCAAATAATGTCATTTATTTTTAAAGTTTTGAACTACTCAACTTCAACAGTTAGAAATACTCTTTATATACATCATCTAATTAGTTTGATAAGTAGAAGATTAGATCTAACTCTGAAACAAATAGTTATTATTATATTGAGGTATTCCTGGAAAAATTGCATCCTAAAATTATATAAATCAATTCAGAAAAAATTGGTATAACCTCTGATTTTAGTTTAAATGTGTTACACTAGATTATCTTTAGTTTTTCAATATAAATCGTTGAGTCGGTTGTTAAGGTTTAAGTTACATATATGAGATCGAAGGAATATAATTTTTATATAAATGTTAGCTAACAATCTGAGAACCTTAATTTAAAAGGATTTTAAAATTTAAAAATAGGAGACATTATTATTCCTTAAATATTTAGATTTAATATTTAAATTTTGCAATTTTCAAAAAAAATCATTGCATTCTCTTTGCTCTATATATTATCCAATTCTGATATTGTTATTGGACCAATCAAGGAAAAGAATTAAAACCATAAATCTTCACTTTAATGAATTGATACATTATTAATACTTACAGAACTTTATTTCATAGGTTGGGCTGAAAATTTAACTAACATAATTTAATTCATTAAGGAAAAGAAATTATGTATATCTTTATAGTTTAGACGAATAAAATGTTATTTTAAAGAAGGTATAATAGTAAATAATGATGCCGCCATTCTATTGACATGTTAGTAAATTTTATTTGTTTAAGATCAATTGATAAAAGGCTATTTGTTGAATCAATACTTATGCAACCTGAACCTCCACTATCTTTTAGGTTAGTAGAAACAGAATCTATCACATTTTTTATTTTGATTATCCCTTACCCTTGAGTTTTAATCTGGAAAATAGAACTTGCAAAAGCGATGATTTCTGAAAAAACACTATCTTTACAACCAAATTAGAAGTTAAGATATAAATCCCTTAATTCAATATTTTAAATGTAGATTAAATAATTGAATTCATTTTTTTTTGATTATATTAATCCTCTAGTTCAAAATCATAGAATTACTACCATAATTATTATGATAAAACATTAGATTTTATGAATATGAAATTAGAAATTTCAATAAATGCAGCACTTAGAGTAATAAATGAACTAGTTGAATAAGTTATGACATTTAATAACAATATAAATGATGAATTTACAAAAAACTGTTTAATGAACTTATCTGTAATAAATTAGCTTATGTGTCTTGCAGTTCATCAATTTATTGATTTATGATGTTTTGGATAAACTTAATTTAATCTTTAAATTATATTCAGAATATCTTTAGAAAAGTGATAATGAATAGGCTAATCTGTTCTTTAATATTATATTTCCTATAAATTATACATTCTCTAAGATTACTTATCCTATTGTATCAATAATGAACTAAGTGCTAAAACTTATTTCCATTAATGAATAATTAATACAAAATTGATTAATAATTTTAATGTTCGATAATGATATTTTCTAAAAGCCTATAACTTATATTAGTTAATTCTTGAATTAAACTTGATCAGCACAAAATTAGGAGACAGGAACTTTATATTATTATTAAGAATTCTCGAATATTACAGAATCAATAATAATCTGATTAATTTCAAAAAGATAAAACACAGCCAATTTTCTCAAATTAAAAAACTATGCATTTTAAATAAGTAATGAATAGCAATGCAACTTAAATAATTAATTTTATAGATATAACTTACGAAATAAGTTATATTCCTAAACTTTTATATTTTTAATACTAATAAACAGTTTATTTATTTAAGACTAGAATAAATAACCATCAAGCTTGATTCTTAGAAAGCACTAAAATTATCTTCAAGATCCTCTATTCTGCATAAAAGCATTTAGAAATTTACCTCTAATAATGTCTATATAATTGAAGATTCTATCAAAGAATTATTACTGGTTCTAACTGTTAATAATTCTATATTATTATTAAAAGCAATTATCACTGAATTACTAAGTTTGTTATTATGGAATTAAAGATTACTTGCCTTTATTTAAAATTTATTATTGCTTATTAGAAAATAGGAATGATCAAAACTACATTGGTTAATTTCAGCATACGATATTGTTATTTAATGTTCTTTGTTCAAATTTTTTTAAAGTGAGAATAATGAAGAATTATATATTGAACAATTTTCAAAAAGTAGATCTTCTATAATTATCTCACCTTAAATACATAATCTAAAATCTTAACCTCCTAAACTAAAATATTTCCATAGACTTATGTTTAGAAAATAAGAATATTAGAAAAGTTGCTTTGAATGAATTTTAGATTGTTTATGAGATCTCGATCTTATTGTTAGCATTTTCTAAAATAATATTAAAAATGTCCAAAAAGTAAAGTTTTTCAATTCTACTGAATCATAATTTCTTATGCTAATTTGTGAGTGTATACCGTAGATGTTTTCATCAAGTGAAAAAAATCTCATATTTGTTTACTTTATAGAAAATATTTTTTTCTTGAATACATTCTACGTAATAATAGGTTATGTTATATATAGGCAAAAGGACAGAATAATCAGGAATTGCAAAAACATAATTAATTATCAATTAANAAATGAACTAGTTGAATAAGTTATGACATTTAATAACAATATAAATGATGAATTTACAAAAAACTGTTTAATGAACTTATCTGTAATAAATTAGCTTATGTGTCTTGCAGTTCATCAATTTATTGATTTATGATGTTTTGGATAAACTTAATTTAATCTTTAAATTATATTCAGAATATCTTTAGAAAAGTGATAATGAATAGGCTAATCTGTTCTTTAATATTATATTTCCTATAAATTATACATTCTCTAAGATTACTTATCCTATTGTATCAATAATGAACTAAGTGCTAAAACTTATTTCCATTAATGAATAATTAATACAAAATTGATTAATAATTTTAATGTTCGATAATGATATTTTCTAAAAGCCTATAACTTATATTAGTTAATTCTTGAATTAAACTTGATCAGCACAAAATTAGGAGACAGGAACTTTATATTATTATTAAGAATTCTCGAATATTACAGAATCAATAATAATCTGATTAATTTCAAAAAGATAAAACACAGCCAATTTTCTCAAATTAAAAAACTATGCATTTTAAATAAGTAATGAATAGCAATGCAACTTAAATAATTAATTTTATAGATATAACTTACGAAATAAGTTATATTCCTAAACTTTTATATTTTTAATACTAATAAACAGTTTATTTATTTAAGACTAGAATAAATAACCATCAAGCTTGATTCTTAGAAAGCACTAAAATTATCTTCAAGATCCTCTATTCTGCATAAAAGCATTTAGAAATTTACCTCTAATAATGTCTATATAATTGAAGATTCTATCAAAGAATTATTACTGGTTCTAACTGTTAATAATTCTATATTATTATTAAAAGCAATTATCACTGAATTACTAAGTTTGTTATTATGGAATTAAAGATTACTTGCCTTTATTTAAAATTTATTATTGCTTATTAGAAAATAGGAATGATCAAAACTACATTGGTTAATTTCAGCATACGATATTGTTATTTAATGTTCTTTGTTCAAATTTTTTTAAAGTGAGAATAATGAAGAATTATATATTGAACAATTTTCAAAAAGTAGATCTTCTATAATTATCTCACCTTAAATACATAATCTAAAATCTTAACCTCCTAAACTAAAATATTTCCATAGACTTATGTTTAGAAAATAAGAATATTAGAAAAGTTGCTTTGAATGAATTTTAGATTGTTTATGAGATCTCGATCTTATTGTTAGCATTTTCTAAAATAATATTAAAAATGTCCAAAAAGTAAAGTTTTTCAATTCTACTGAATCATAATTTCTTATGCTAATTTGTGAGTGTATACCGTAGATGTTTTCATCAAGTGAAAAAAATCTCATATTTGTTTACTTTATAGAAAATATTTTTTTCTTGAATACATTCTACGTAATAATAGGTTATGTTATATATAGGCAAAAGGACAGAATAATCAGGAATTGCAAAAACATAATTAATTATCAATTAATCTACCCCAATTTAGTTGCAATATTCAACAATTGTACCATCGTCTAGAATATCTGGTTGATACATTAGTTAAGCACAAGAATCAAAACAGTAGGAAGTTGAAAACTTATTGTAGCAACTTTTGTTAAAGCAGTATTTGGCATTGTAAAATTGAATATCAATGCCTAAATTAGGTTCATCAAGTGGAGCTAGACATTTCATTGTAAATTTTGCGTTGGATTCCTGAAGCTAAAAATCTGATTACATAGCCTAATATATTTTAAGAAATTACTGTTATTTCATTCTAATTTCTTTTTTGATAATAATAGCATAGATTAGAGCAATTTAGGCATTGCCCATCAAATTAAGCCTTTATAGGATTTCTGTAGTAATTTAAAGGGCATTACTTGCAGATGAAGTTTTCAAAAGCCTTTTCACAATTTAAACATTCACTGCTACATTATCTTGAACAAAGCAATCCCCTTGTTAATTCATACCCATCTTTACATTTAACTATAAAATCCCATAAGTTGTATAAGAATAATAATATTAATCAGGCAAAAATTACATTAAAAAAGCTCTAAATCATTTGAATATAACCATCGACTTCACCAAAGTCTCCTTATATTAAATAAGAGCTGTTTTCATCAATAAAATAAAGATTTAAAGGCGATTGACAGTTCCCTGTTATAATAGAACTCACATAACCTTCTCTACAAAATACACATTGTAGCTTTCATTTTGGAGAGAGGACACATTGTAAACAATTAGAATAATATTTTTCGCAATTTATAATTTCAGGTGCAACACTAAAATCATTCTAAGATGAGAGAGCACATAGTTCAATACCATCCAAATTGATAAATGATCTTAAACAAGTTGATATTTTCGATTTTTACCTTAAACACTCCCAATCGTAAAGTCAAAACTAAAGCCATCATTACATATAGCACATCCAATTAATATCATTTAATCTGTATTAAAGCTTTTTTTTCAAAATTTTTATTTAAGGCACATCTGAAGGAAAATTCATCATATTCAAAGCAGTATTTACAATTCTTTTTTGGACATAATTTACACTCATTTGTAGATGTTCTATAATTAGGTGTTAAACAATCATAATTTGATTTGCCAATTGTTGTTGATTAATTAAAATAAAATTTGCTTGGTTAACATACAACCCCTTTAATTGATACAAAAAGTTCTTTACAAATAAATTTAGATAATCTAAAACAATTTGAAAATTTACATTCATAGTAAAAAGGAGTTGTAGCATTTAAAAAGTTATTGTTAATTCTCTATTGATATAGAGAGTCTACAATAAAATAATTACAATCAAAAATTATTTACTAAGTGTCACTCATTTTCAGTATTCCTGCAAGTGACTTAATCTTTTTCTAAGTAAAAAAGGCTAAATATATAATAAGTAATAATTACCATTTTTGGCATTGATTCTCTAATTCAAAATAACCATATTGACACTCATTAAATACAGAGGGTTCGTCAATTAATTCTAAACCTGCTTCTTTATAGCCAATACAAATTTAATCATCAATTGTATTGTAAGGACAAACACATACCTTGTGTTCAGGCAAATATATTCTTTTTGATTCTTTTGAATAAGATAAACAATCTTCTTTAGTTGGGCCATCGCATTCTTAACAACTGTAATGACAGTTTTATTAAGAAAAAATTGTATCACAATTACAAAATAGGAAATTTCTTATTAATATTTCCAAGTAATTTGATTTAAACTATTAGATATTCCCATATTACAATTTAAATTATTATTATTAAAATTGACGAACTTCAAATTAATGTCTATACTCATAAATCATTAATTAATCATAAAAATCAATTTATAGATTCATTACATTTCTTATCAATTTAAGTTAAATTTTATGCCATAAAATGGATGTTATGGCTAATATTAAAAGATTTCATTATTAGAAATGGATTATTAGAAAAATCAATTGAAACCATAGGAAAAGTGTAGCTATAAGTTGTTACAATTATTTAATTCTAAAAATTTGAGAACCTATATTGAATTTAAAGAGGGGATAAGTTATCACCAGATAAAATTGGATCTTCTAAATTAACTGCTAATTTTAGATATGGAAATATAAATTCGATTGTCTTCCTTAATAATTTCTTTAATTTTTACATACCCTGAGAAAACAAAAGAATCACAATTTTAATTTTCTGATACAAATTCTCCTTTTAATTAAGAGTCACTGTTCTAATCTTGAATTCTTATGTTACTATTTGATTAGCACGAACATATCTCGTAATTTAGCAAAAACACTTTTCACATAATCAAACCAATCAATGATAGTTAAAACATCTAATATCTGAAACTTTTATAAAATAATAGTTCCAGGAAAGTACGAGAATTTTTAATCTTTTTAAATCGATTTTATCCTTGAAGAACTTACAATCAAGCTACTTCCAAAAGTAAATTGGAGATCAATTCCCGTAAAGGGGTATTTTATTTTATCAATAATATGAATCATTATTTTAATTTATGATATTATCAATATTTCTAATCGTTTTTGTAATGGCCATTAAAGCACTTCAAGAAAATACCAAAAGCTTTCATATTCGAATATATCAACCTAAATTTCATACTCTTTCTATTCATCTTCATTGTTTACAAACTTTATTGTCTTTGTTATTATTTTGTTTGCCTAATAATCTAAACAGTCGTAATACATTAAATTTATTTCATTGCTTGTCCTATCTAGTATGTGATAAAGCTAATAAAATTACTATCAAACAATCTAATTGGACCAGTTTAAGATATCGCACTTAGCGGATTATATTTAGAACAAATACCATAGCCAAAATATTTTTCTTGTATAAATGCATCATCCTTAATCTTGACAAATTAATGTTCTACCTAGTAAAAGGGATCTAATCCTTATATTTCAAATGACTATGATGTATTCAAAAATATGAAATAGATGAAAATCATCATCAATATAATACTTAAATAAAATCTTGGATTTGCACAACAATTAAATTCAGTTTAGGTCAAAGAAAAATCTCATCAAAACATGATCTAAGTGAATTTATAGTTGATCTTTAATAAGTATAAAAAGTTTAACTTCTTCGAAGAGGAGGTGAAGATGTTATTAAAAAGAACTCATAAAGTTAGAAAATTTGATTAAATGGATTGTCTGATGAAAAGGGAGATGAGAAGAATTCTTATAAAAGGAAAAACTTTTGATAAAACCCAACAAATTAATAAAATAAAATCCCTTCTATAAGACCTATTTTGACTATAATTAAGTATAAGGTAATAAATTGAACAAAAATTTTATAACATTTTATCATTAATAAAGGTATTAGAACATAATAAAAGTAACAAAATAAATCTATTGAATTATATTCTAAAAAACCATTTTCAAGATGTTAGACAATAAAATTCCAATGGTTTCAAATTCATAAGGACATTTTAATTGCAAAGTATCTTTTAAAAAGATAACTTAATAAGCTTCAAGTAACCTAACAATGTTTGGAATTATTATGAGTTTATATAATTAAAAATCATAAATTTAATTTAATGTACAACCTATTTATTCAATCAAAGTAATTCTAAAAGAATTATCTAAATCAGCCCCTAAATAGCATTTCTAATTATTGATAAATTAATGGCTGTTATGGAAATCTATAAAATTGGAAAATTATCTTTTTAGAAATCAGTAACAACTCGATTCAGATTAATACTACATTATATATATAGCAAAAATTAAGATGACCATAATTAAAAATGGTGGAAAATTTCTCTGATTATACTCTTTCTAATATGAATAGCCATTTAATCATGAGAAACTAATTCAATAATTGATAAAAAGAGCATCTAATTTATAAGATAAATTAATTATACAAATTTTTTATTAAAAATATAAAAAGGTTAAAAAAAACTGTAATAATAATATTCCAAGTATTTTATCTAGAATTTCAAAGTATTAGGTATAATTTCTAAAAAAATTGATTTATTTTTATTTTATTAGATTATTGGTTTTTGGTATAGATTACTTCTAGTTTTAGACCCATCAGATAAATTTTCTTGTTGATAGAGTTACATATTGATAATATTTTTTAGATTTAATAGGTGACAAAAATAAATCACTACACCCTATTAAATAATCAAACATCTAAATTTCAAACTTCAAACAATAAATTAATCTAGACTATCTAACTTAAGTATTTAAATATATAAAATTTAAGCCAAGAATATAAGTTTTCCACAATCTTCTAATAACTTTGGATAATTTTATTGCAAAATTATTTTCTAAAATAAACGATAATAGTTTGAATTTGAAGCCTTCAACACTTTGCATTAGATCTTGAATCAGTTAATTATTAGTTTGGAGTTCCTAATCATACTTCTTATTTATTTTGGGAGTTACTTTGTTAGTAAGGTTAAGGAAAGTCTATTCTTTAATAGAGTAGTAATTCCATATCGGTCTGATTAAATAAAACAGTAATTTATTTTATAAAAACTACTTTAATGAAATATCAACCTCATTAAAAAAAAATAGAATATGCTTAATAAATTATTAATCAAATATCTATGCGAATAATTTTGTATTAAGGTACAATGATCCTATTAAGATAACAATATCAATGTTTCCATGACATGAATCTAACAATTTACAATATAAGGCCCATCATTTAAATGAGATAAAAATTAGACAATTTATATTTAGAATTTTTATTTTATTAGGTATAAGAAAATGAAATGAAAGTATATAATAAATAGTTTTCATAAAATAATTTTTTATTATTGATCTAAAGTAATGCAGCAGTTGAATCTTTTCAAATAGATGCATATAGTTGAATTTATGTAATAGAATTTGGTTAATGTAAATAAGCGTGCGTGAATGGATATAAAATTAAATATTAATATAAAAAAATGATTTAATAAGCAAGTTTAAAGTTAAACTGTTAACAGGATGATCATCAGGATGAGATTGATTTTATTTGTTATCATGAGTTTTGCACAGGATTTCGATTAAATTGTTTTGATTGTTTTAAAAAGGGAATCCATCAAAGTCATTTTGATGATGTTAAAAAAATGAGGACTTTGATTCCATTTCTAGAAAGTAAAAATACAGAGTGTGATAATTTAATTGAAAATCTTGACAAATATATAGAAAGTGTGAATTAATCATTTTCTTAATTAAAAAGAGGAATCAGGAATAAATATTCATTAATAAAAGAAAGATTAGTGAATTTAAATTCTTATTAAATTAATGATTATTTGAACTCAACCATAAAGCTAACTGAATATAAATAATCAATTTCAACAATCATTTAAGAATAGACTAAAAAGATAACTCATTCATTTAATAATTTATATGAATAATTATCATTATCATCTTATAATTATTATTAAATTAATGAGAATGATCTTAAACTATCTGAAGATCTCTACTAATAAGGTAATTTAATAACAAATTTTAAGGCTATAAATTATATTTGGATCATAAGTATAATGAAGCATTAGAATAATTAGATAAGTCCATTTTAATGCATCCTAATAATTAGAAAGCCTTATCTTACAAAGGTTATAATTTTATCAAAATTTTAGGTTCATGTTTAAGGTTGTTAAATAAATATTAGAATGCAATTACTTGTTTGGATAAAGCCTTAGCTATTGATCCCTAACATATTAATTCCTTAAGTGATAAAGGTAGATTTTATCATCTTTTATATTAATAGGCTAATGTTTAAAAATGTTAAATAAATATGAGGATGCAATCACCTGGTTAGACAAAGCATTAATTATTAATCCACAACATGTTCTTTCACTAAGTGATAAAGGTTTATTTCATCCTCTTTCTATTAATAGGTTAATGTTTAAGGTTGTTAAATAAATATGAGGATGCAATCGCTTGGTTGGATAAAGCATTATATATTAATCCTTAACATGTAATTTCATTAAGTGATAAAGGTATATTTCATCATCTTTATATTAATAGGTTAATGCTTAAAGATGCTAAATAAATATGAGGATGCAATCACTTGGTTGGATAAAGCCTTAGTTATTGATCCCTAACACGTTAATTCCTTAAGTGATAAAGGTAAATTTCATCAACTTATATATTAATAGGTTAATGTTTAAGAATGCTAAATAAATATGATGATGCAATCATTTGGTTTGACAAAGCATTAGCTATTAAGCCTTAACATGTTCTTTCACTAAGTGATAAAGGTAAATTTTATCATCTTTAATTAATAGAGAATGTTTAATAA